CGGCTTGAGGCTGGGGGCTCAAGGGGTGGGGCCGGCCCCAGAGGAGGGAAGGGGGTCGGGGCACTTGGAGGATCTGGAAGGTAGGGGGAGGTGGGAGGGTCTCAGGAGGAGAGCCAATGGGGCAGGAGGGTAGGCAGGACCCCGAGACCCGAAGAGGAACCCCGAGGTGGGAGTTTGGCGGAGGAAAAAAGGGGGGCCCGGGAGGGGGCTTTGGGCGAAGGCAAAAAGGAATGGAGAGATGGCAGCAAGGTAGAGCATGAGGACTCCAGGAGAAGCCCCGAAGGCCCAGAACACGGGTGTCAGAGCCCGGGGTTCGGGGTGCCAGGTATAGAAGGGAGGAGGGAAATGGGGAAGGGGTGTGGTAGGTAGATAGAAAGGGTTTGTAGCTGATTGAGGGAGGAGATTGGAACCTGGGGGAAACGGGACTCGCTCCGAGAGGGCTGCCTTTGAGAAGAAAAACCCGGCGTATTCCCCGGGTGGAAGTGGGAAGGTGATGCCTTTGTGACTCAATTTTCTTTCCCCAACTCCGGGTCACCTCTGACCCTGTTTTTCCAATCCCAGGCGTAGGTATTTCTTGGAGAGGGGCATGCTGGGGCCCAGTAGTGTGGTTCCTCCTGCAAGTGATGAGGAAGACAGAACCCCTGGAGGGAAACTTTGGGGGAAACGTTTTCTGGGAGGGTGGACTGGAGCGAACTGGGCAATCTTACAGGCACTCCAAACAAGTTGTGACCCCCACCCACAAATCCCCAGAGCAGCCACTGCTCCTCTAGCTGTGGTTTCTTTAAGAGGGGGTGGATCTTCATGACTGTTTTGTGCTCAAAGATCTCCCTTTGTGCATGCCCTTACCTCTACTGGAGTAGGTACTCTTTAAGCTCCCTTCCCTGAGGGTGCCATAGGTGGACAGGAGTTGCTTTGGCAACTGAAGGGGGAATGGCTGACAGATGGACCCCTGGGATGGACTCTTGAGGGGCAGGGTCTGCCATTTTCTTGCCTTGGCAATGATCCAGTGGGATATCCAAGAGATGGGGGCTCAGAATCTTGACGGGAGCCTCAGCCTTTCACTGTGTCCTTGGGACTCTTGGCTGAGTTCTGGAGGATGTTTCTGGTGCTGCTGGTGGAGAGGAGGTTCCTCGGAGCCTCCACCCACCTCCATCCAGCTGTCTTTGGGAACAAGTAGACATATTCCTTGCAGGTCATGTGTGTTTCTTCAAGTCCTTCCCCTTAGGCATGGTGGGAAGATAGAAACGCTCCTGATCCTTGGCAGTTCATTATTAGAGAAACATTTTAAAAAAATGTTATTACTTAATTTTATTTTTGGCTGCTTTGGGTCTTCTTTGTGGCGTGCGGGCTCTTTTTCCTGTACACAGGCTTTCTTGAGCTTCAGGGTGCCTGCTTCTCATTCTTGCTGGCTTCTCTTGTTGTGGAGCATGGGCTCTAGGGTGCTCAGGCTCAGTAGTTGTGGCATACGAAGCTTAGTTGCCTCATATGAAGTTTAGTTGCCCCGCAACATGTGGGGTCTTTGTTCCCGGACCAGGGATGAAACCTGTGTCCTCTGCATCGGCAGGCAGATTCTTAACCACTGGACCACCAGGCAAGTCCCGGGACTTTTTGTATACAGTAATCTTTTTGCTTCTTTGTGCAGATTTTTCTCCCTTTTCTTAAACTTGAGTCTTCCTTCCCAGGTATCCCTTTTCCTTTTTCCCAGACTGTCTCCATGGTGACCCTTTCCCTCAGCCAGCCTTCGACCTTCTATTTCTCCCGCCTTGTAAGCATGGCTAGGCCCTCCATGCCCATCCCAGATGACAGTGGCCCAGGGGAGAGGGCTGTGGAACAGCTGGTGTGGTGGGCTTCAGGACCAGAGCCAGGAGACCTGGTTCCTGGTCTAGTCCTGGCTGCACCTCTGAGTAACTGTGACCTTGGGCAAGTCACTTCTCTTTCTTTGAGCCTTGGCCTCACTGAGTAAGGGTCACAGATAAGATGGTATCTGAGGTCCCAGTGACAACTGTGGATCCTGAAGCTTAGGCCCTACCTAACAGCAGATAACATATCTGCTGGTCTGGGCTGCACTGTTATCTAGGACTGGTTTGTTAGTCTGGAAGTTCTGGAACAATGGTGGAGGCTGGGCCTACGTTCCTGAAATTTACCCTGCAAGCCCATCCTAGAAAGCCTTGTGCCTCGAGTGTATTCCTTCTGATCTCTATTACATTTCTCCCTTAATTTCTTTTCCTGTTCTTACTTAGAGACTCTTTTTCCTTATTTTTCATGTTTCCACCTCCCCAGTCTGGCCTTTATAATTTTACTTTTGCAGTAAGGTGCTGAAGGTGAAGCTGCTTAGGTTTTTGCAGACAGACAGTAAGTGCTTTATAAATTGGAATTACAGTGACGGACTGCTAGAGCAGGAAGGAGGGTAGTTAGCTTAGCTTGTAGGTGCTAAAAGAGGCTCCTGGTTCAGGAATGTATGTATAACCCAACCCTATCTCCTCCTTTCTCCTGCCCCTCCTCCTCCCCAGGGTCACTTACCCTTTTATGACTGCTTTTCTTCTTCAGAGCTACCCATTGCTAATTTTATCAGATGTCAACTGATTAAAAGTTGAGGTGGGGGAGGGGCACACTGGGCTTGCTCTGTTCTTCACGTACATCCATTCCTGCCTTTCCCTGACTCACCTACCGAGAAGATGGTTCTGTGATAGGAAGAAAAGTACCCTCCTTTACAGGGGCTGCCAAAAGACACACCAGTCACTATCACCTCTCTTGTGCTTTCCTTAAGATTGTTTCCCTCTTTTGTTATGTTGGGTTTTGTTCTTTGGGTTTTGGTGGGGGTGGGTTGACAATATTAGAAAACCAATTTACACAGCAGCTCAAAAATGTGGTAATAAAAAAAAATGCGGTAATAGTTGTAGTGGAAGAGAAATGGCTGGCAGACTGGGCAGAGCATCAGTTGTAAGCTCAGACCTGGACTTCGACCCAGCTATTTTGTGACTTTAAGTAGATTTTTAGTAACTTTCCTGGAAAAGTTAGGCTCGCCCCTCACTGCATGCCTCAGGAGGGTTCAGTGGAGGTGAGTGAGAAGGTGAGTGAGGAGGAATTACTTTCCCAAGGTATTCCTTGGGAAAATGTGCTATAGAATGTGGAAATGCTGTCTCCATAGCCAGGGCTTTCAGCTCAGAGTAGGTGGCTAAGCTTGGTCTGTTCCCACCAAGGCCAGCAGCACTTCATTTGAGAAGACCTGCTAAAGTCAGTGGGTTTAAAGGTCAGTAGCAAAAAAAGGTCAGAACACCCATATGTACAGGACATTGCAAGGGATATAGAAAGGAAGAAAACAGTAAAAAGATAGTATTTTGGGGACTTCCTTGGTGGTCTAGTGGTTAAGAATTTGCCTGCCAATGCAGAGGACATGGGTTCAACCCCTGGTCCGGGAAGATCTCCCGTGCCGTGGAGCAACTAGACCTGTGAACCACAACTATTGAGCCTCTGCTCCACAACAAGAGAAGCCAATGTGACAAGAAGCCGGGGCCCAAAAACCCCTCTGCAGCAACCAAAAATAAATAAAAAGAAGATAGTATTTTTGCTCTCAAAAGATCTTATGGTAAGTAACATGGAGAGATGTGACACTTAGCAGGAAACACAAATGTAAATGAAAATTGCTGACTATGTAGATAGGGATATATAAGGAAACATATAGATGTATATAGATTGGCTATGAGGAGCTGGGAGCCCCTGTCTAAACCAGATGGGAGGACAGGCTTACTTATGTATAAACTCGGAATGTTTGCTCAGTGATCTCCATGGATTTGGTTGGTAAAGTGAAAGCTCTGGGTTTTCCTCCAGCCTTAGGGGACCCAAGCACTAGAGCAGGGGTCTTATGAGACTCAGGACTGAAGTTCGTTACTCTGGGGACACCTCAGTTTGGCCTTGGCATTGGTAGGGCTGCGCGCCTTTGCACTGTTGAATGGGACATTGTTCTCCCACCTACTCTAATATGAAGAAAGATTCTTTTCATATCTCTGAGACTGATCTAGGCCTTCTGAGAATTCTTCTCACCAACTTCTGATGAGAGTATAGCTAAGTACTGAAAAAAAAGCATGCGCTTGGAATCAGGGGGATGGGGCTTGATTCTGGCACTCTCTAGTTCCTCACTGTGTACTCATCGCGTGAAGTTGGGCAAGTCACAATCACAATCTTTGATCCTCAGTCTCCTCATCTATATAATGGGAATAATAAGACTACCTCCTTTATAGGGTTGGGCTTCCCTGGTGGCTCAGCTGGTAAAGAATCCACCTGCAATGTGGGAGACCTGGGTTCGATCCCTGGATTGGGAAGATCCCCTGGAGAAGGGAATGGCTACCCACTCCAGTATTCTGGCCTGGAGAATTCCCTGGACTGTATAGTCCATGGGGCACAAAGAATCGGACACGACTGAGCGACTTTCACTTTCAGGGATGGTTATAAATATGAAATGAAATGGGGCTTTATGTCAACTAAGGGCTTGACATAAAGAAGGCACTCAATAAATCAGCTAATATTTCAGGTACACTTCTTTGTGCTCCTTTTGTAAGGCTCTGTGGAATTTCGTGTGCACATATATTTCCATGGGGGAAGTAGTGTGATCTCCTGAACTGGGGCACATAGAAACATCTGCGCTTCCTGCTTTCCCGAGGGATGAAGGGGATGACATTGCCAGCAGAAGTTCCCTCACTTACAGACAGCTGGAGCGGCCCATGGGCAAGTCAGCAGTGTGTCATGGCCCGGCTGCCCACTCAGCCCCTTGACAAGTGCAGTAGTACCCCCTTCAGACTCTGGTCTCCAGTTTGGAGACTTTGATGGTTCTGTTTCCAACAGGCTTCACTGCAGAAAGACCCTGCAAGTTCCAGGTGCTGAGAACTCGGAGAGCCTGCTTCTTGCTTCCCAGGTCGTAGCTGGAGGGACCTTAGGGTGAAGCAGAGAAGTTTCTGTATCCAGCTGCCCGGGCAGAGGAGAATGGGGTCTCCACAGCCTGAAGAATGAAGACACGACAGAATAAAGACTCAGTGAGTAGGAGCTAAAATGAGAGACGCAGAAGGCCACGGTCAGGGAAGATTCTGACCTGTCCCAGTGCTCCGCTCACCCTGGCCACCCTCCTCGACTCTTCCCTTCCTCCTTTCTTCTTCCCCCGACAGCTGAGCCTGGCTTTGAACCCCATCCTTCTGTGACAGCCACTGGAGGGGAATAGAAGGCACAGGATGAAATGAGGTATAATGTAGAAAACAGCATCATCTGCTCACTTCCTTCTCCTTCAGATGTCAATGAGGAGTGGACGGAAGAAAGAGGCCCCTGGGCCCCGGGAAGAGCTGAGACCGAGGGGCCGGGCCTCCCCTGGTGGGGTCAGCACGTCCAGCAGCGATGGCAAAGCCGAGAAGTCTAGGCAGACGGCCAAGGTATTCTGTCCCCATGTCCTGCCACAGGATGCCCGGGCACTGGGGCTGACGGTGTATGTGTGTGTTGGGGGAGCTTCCTGTCTGGCTGAGGGCACTGGTGGAGCTCGGGAGTACAAGATAGGAATTTTGTTTCTAACAGAAAGCCCGAGTAGAGGAAGCCTCCACCCCAAAGGTCAGCAAGCAGGGCCGGAGTGAAGAGATCTCAGAGAGCGAAAGTGAGGAGACCAACGCACCAAAAAAGACCAAAACTGAGGTGGGAGACCCTTGTTGCCATCATGACCCATTTTCTTGACATTCTTTCACCCACAATTCTTACTTTGTCTGCAACATGAGAGAAAAGTCTTATCCGAGTGCTTATGAAACTGGCCTGTCTGGATGTCAGTCAGATCTTTAGGGCTCTGGCCAGTGTCAGGTGGACAGGCAGGGCCAAAGAGGAATGGGTAGAGGGTGGGGGATTCTAGCCTCTTCCTTTGTAGGGCCTGGTTTTCAGGCAGGGTCTGGGGAGGAGATCCAGGGTGAGAAGTCTCAGTAGGAGGAACGAGTAAGTCATAAAGAACATGCAGAAGCGGTCTTTTTAAGAACCAGTGGTTTCTGGGATGTTTAATTAGAAGGGTAGATGAGATGAGAGGATGGCAGATGGGCTGGTAGAAGATAAGGATTTGGGTTCAGCTGTGGAATGGGAGAAGATGCTAGAGATGGATGCCTGAGGAAGGAACTGGGTTTGCCCCAAGGGAACTTGGATGCCTGCTAGGGAGCAGTGGAGAGACTGTGAGAGTGGAGGATCCCCAGATGGCCGGGTGGTGGGCTTGAGCTAGAGTACTCTTCACATCGTGGTGCAGTGGTGTGCTGTGGAAGGGAAATCATTCTGTGCCAGCGAGGCCCCAAATCCCGGGGAGGCAGGAAAAGCAAAGGCCACCATGGCTCTCCCTCTTGTGCAGCAGGAGCTGCCCCGGCCCCAGTCTCCCTCCGATCTGGATAGTCTGGATGGGCGGAGCCTCAATGATGATGGCAGCAGCGACCCCAGGGACATCGACCAGGACAACCGGAGCACGTCTCCTAGCATCTACAGCCCTGGAAGTGTGGAGAATGACTCCGACTCATCTTCTGGCCTGTCCCAGGGCCCTGCCCGCCCCTATCACCCACCTCCACTCTTCCCTCCCTCCCCTCCACCGCCTGACAGCACCCCCCGACAGCCAGAACCTGGCTTTGAACCCCACCCTTCTGTGACACCCACTGGATATCATGCTCCCATGGAGCCCCCCACATCTCGGATGTTCCAGGCTCCTCCAGGGGCTCCTCCCCCTCATCCACAGCTCTACCCTGGGGGCTCTGGTGGGGGGGTTTTGTCTGGACCCCCACTGGGTCCCAAGGGGGGTGGGGCTGCCTCTTCAGTGGGGGCCCCTAGTGGGGGTAAGCAGCACCCCCCACCCACCACCCCCATTTCAATATCAAGCTCTGGGGCTGGTAGTGCTCCCCCAACAAAGCCGCCTAACACTCCAGTCGGTGGTGGAAACCTACCGTCTGCACCACCACCAGCCTCCTTCCCCCACGTGACACCGAACCTGCCTCCCCCACCTGCCCTGCGACCCCTTAACAATGCATCCGCCTCTCCTCCTGGCCTGGGGGCCCAGCCACTACCTGGGCATCTCCCCTCCCCCCATGCCATGGGGCAGAGCATGGGTGGACTTCCTCCTGGCCCGGAGAAGGGCCCCACTCTTGCTCCTTCACCCCATCCTCTGCCCCCTGCGTCCTCCTCTTCAGCCCCTGCCCCCCCGATGAGGTATCCTTACTCATCCTCTACTAGCAGCTCTGCAGCAGCCGCCTCTTCTAGTTCTTCTGCCTCTGCCTCCCAGTACCCCGCTTCCCAGGCACTGCCCAGTTATCCCCACTCCTTCCCTCCCCCGACCAGTCTCTCTGTCTCCAATCAGCCCCCCAAGTATACGCAGCCTTCTCTCCCATCCCAGGCTGTGTGGAGCCAGGGTCCCCCCCCACCTCCTCCCTATGGCCGCCTCTTAGCCAACAGCAGTGCCCACCCAGGTCCCTTCCCTCCTTCAGCTGGAGGCCAGTCCACGGCCCACCCATCAGCCCCAACACATCACCACCACCACCAGCAACAGCAGCAGCAGCAGCAGCAACCACCACCACATCATGGGGGCTCTGGGCCCCCTCCCCCTGGAGCATATCCTCACCCCCTGGAGAGCGGTGGTTCCCACCATGCACACCCGTATGCCATGTCTCCCTCCCTGGGGTCTCTGAGACCCTATCCACCAGGGCCAGCACACCTGCCCCCACCTCACAGTCAGGTGTCCTACAGCCAAGCAGGTCCCAACGGACCCCCAGCCTCCTCTTCTTCCAATTCCTCTTCCTCCTCTCAAGGGTCCTACCCGGGTTCACACCCCTCTCCTTCCCAGGGCCCCCCAGGGGCGCCCTACCCCTTCCCACCGGTGCCTCCGGTCACCACTTCCTCGGCCACACTTTCCACAGTCATTGCCACAGTAGCTTCCTCGCCAGCAGGCTACAAGACAGCCTCCCCACCTGGGCCCCCGCCTTATGGCAAGCGAGCTCCGTCCCCAGGGGCCTACAAGACAGCCACTCCACCTGGATACAAGCCGGGGTCGCCGCCCTCCTTCCGAACGGGGACCCCACCAGGCTACCGAGGCGCCTCGCCGCCCGCAGGCCCAGGGACCTTCAAGCCGGGCTCGCCCACCGTGGGGCCCGGGCCGCTGCCGCCTGCGGGGCCCTCCAGCCTGTCATCCCTGCCTGCACCGCCTGCGGCTCCCGCCTCTGGGCCGCCCCTGAGCGCCACGCAGATCAAACAGGAGCCGGCCGAGGAATATGAGACCCCCGAGAGCCCAGTGCCCCCGGCCCGCAGCCCCTCGCCCCCTCCCAAGGTGGTAGATGTGCCCAGCCACGCCAGTCAGTCGGCCAGGTGAGCGCCGGGGCGGGGTTTGGGGGTGGCGGGCGCAGGATGGGCCCCGCGTTCGTTTGATGCTTTTCAAAGTACTCCAGGCCCTGCTCTCGGCCGCCGGTGGGGGTGCCGCTCGCAGGGGCTGAGCGCGCGCTACCTCGGCGCCTGGCAGGTTCAACAAACACCTGGACCGCGGCTTTAACTCGTGCGCGCGCAGCGACCTGTACTTCGTGCCGCTGGAGGGCTCCAAGCTGGCCAAGAAACGGGCCGACCTGGTAGAGAAGGTGCGGCGCGAGGCCGAGCAGCGCGCGCGCGAAGAAAAGGAGCGCGAGCGCGAGCGGGAACGCGAGAAGGAGCGCGAGCGCGAGAAGGAGCGTGAGCTGGAACGCAGCGTGGTGAGTGCGTCACTGCGCGCGCCGCCCGCCTGGGGGCCGCCCTCTAAGCGACTCTGGGAGGTTCGAGGTGGGGTGGAGGTGGTGGGGAGGTGGCGTGCGCCACCTGTCGAACAGGAGGAGCCATGGCAACCCAGGAAATGGAGATCAGAGGATTCCAGCGGCAGGAATTGCATCCCTGGGCTGAAGAAAGGCAAGCTCAGGTCAGAGTACTCGTGGATCGTAGAAAGATCATCTCCTCCGTAGGAAGAGAAGGGGCAGGGAAGTCCCTGGCAGGCCGAGTTACAGTAAGCTGAGGCTTTAGGCATTCAGATGCTGAGACAAATGAGCAGCTGAGGACCCGGACCTGCCTTGTTGACCCCGCGTCTCCCTGTGTCCCACAGAAGTTGGCTCAGGAGGGCCGTGCTCCAGTGGAGTGCCCATCTCTCGGCCCAGTGCCCCATCGCCCTCCATTTGAGCCGGGCAGTGCTGTGGCTACAGTGCCCCCTTACCTGGGCCCCGACACTCCAGCCCTGCGCACCCTCAGTGAATACGCCCGGCCCCACGTGATGTCTCCTGGCAATCGCAACCATCCATTCTACGTGCCCCTGGGGGCAGTGGACCCGGGGCTCCTGGGTTACAATGTCCCGGCCTTGTACAGCAGTGACCCAGCAGCCCGGGAGAGAGAACGGGAAGCCCGTGAACGAGACCTGCGTGACCGCCTCAAGCCTGGCTTTGAGGTGAAGCCCAGCGAGCTGGAGCCCCTACATGGGGTCCCTGGGCCAGGCCTGGATCCCTTCCCCCGGCACGGAGGCCTGGCTCTGCAGCCCGGCCCCCCGGGCTTGCACCCTTTCCCCTTCCATCCGAGCCTGGGGCCCCTGGAGAGAGAACGTCTAGCGCTGGCAGCTGGGCCCGCCCTGCGGCCTGACATGTCCTATGCGGAGCGTCTGGCGGCTGAGAGGCAGCACGCGGAAAGGGTGGCCGCCCTGGGCAATGACCCGCTGGCGCGGCTGCAGATGCTCAACGTGACCCCCCATCACCACCAGCACTCTCACATCCACTCTCACCTGCACCTCCACCAGCAGGATGCCATCCACGCAGGTGAGACTCCCTCGTCCTTGGCCAGGACCGTTGGGATCACTTTGCACCCTGGCAAGTCATTGGGTGCTTCTCTTGCTTAGGCCTGGACTTGCCACCCCACGTCTGGCCTGAGCCGCTCTCCTGAGATTGCCCTGGTCTTTGCCTTCCCAGCCTGTCTCTCCTACCCCAGCCCTACTGCAGAGACCCTGCCCCACACCCCAGCCACATTCAGGTCTGCATCTCCCCCCACACCCCACGGTAGAAGCTGGAGGTGGAAACCTTTAAAGGAGTGCGACCTTCCTCCCCTCACAGCCTCTGTCCCTGAGCCCTTCTCATAACTATTTCCTTGCTCCTCTGGGTTCAGCTCTATTGTTTCTTGCCATCTTCTCCATTCAGGCAGAGGTGATTCATGTTCCTCTCTGAATCTATAGATCTGTGACCTTCTAGAAAGAGCCCTGTGGCTCAGGTTGTGGGATAACAAGGGACAATGAGCTTTACTCACAATGAGTCTTTCCACCATTTTTCTAATTGTCAGAACACTGCCCATTTAGTCTTACACTCAAATTCATCCCAGGCTCCTTGTGTTCTCTTTTAGGTTCCTCCCTGTCCCATTTCCTAAACTTCCTTTTCTTCTCCATCTCCTCTCGGTAGTCCACTCCCTTCCTATTCCTCAGGTCCCTCTGAGAACTAGAATCTCCTGTCCTCTGCCATCCATCCCTCTGTCCCTCCTGCAGTAGGGTCTTGCCCTGTCCATCTCCTAGACCTCTAGCCCCTCCATTGTGCCTTTTTTGATTTGCTGGATCACCCTGTGTTTGATCGTCCACCTCTCTTCCCAGGCATGGAGCTCTTCACCCAAATGCATGGTTTTCCCCACACCTGCCTTCTGTTGACGCCTTCCTCTTCTCTACCCTCCAGCCTCTGCCTCGGTGCACCCTCTCATTGACCCCCTGGCCTCAGGGTCTCACCTTACCCGGATCCCCTACCCAGCTGGGACCCTCCCCAACCCCCTTCTTCCTCACCCTCTGCACGAGAACGAAGTTCTTCGTCACCAGCTCTTTGGTAAGGATGGAGGTTGGGGGTGGAGGCGATCTCTCAAGAGAATGGAGGAAGTTAGGTGCTGGAATCAGTCTGATTGGGCTTGGGGAGAGATGAGGTGGCGGGAGGAACTGGGAATGGAAGCAGGACGGCTGAGGCCCTGGCTGAGAGGCACAGATGTTAAGGTCAGGCTCAGAGGCCTGGATCTTTACCACCCCTGGCAGCTTGCAGGACTGACTGTCACCTAAGTTGATTAGTGGCGGTTCCTCTGTATGAACAGTGTCTGGCCACCTGAGTACCTCATCAGTCACGTGGCCCCTGCCCTTCCTGCCCACAGCTGCTCCATACCGGGACCTGCCAGCCTCCCTCTCTGCCCCGATGTCGGCAGCTCACCAGCTGCAGGCCATGCACGCGCAGTCAGCTGAGTTGCAGCGCTTGGCGCTGGAGCAGCAGCAGTGGCTGCATGCCCATCACCCGCTGCACAGCGTGCCGCTGCCTGCCCAGGAGGACTACTACAGGTACCACAGGGTGCCCGGGACCCGGCGGAGGGCAGTCGGCGGAGGGGGTGCACCCCAGCCCGACCGGGGTGGGTGTGGCCCCCGCGGGAGGGGACCCATCCGCAGTGAGCTGGGCGGTCAGGCTGGACCTCAGTCTCTACCCCGCCCCCCCGACTCCCTGCTCTGCTTGCTCTCCCCCCAGTCATCTGAAGAAGGAAAGCGACAAGCCGCTGTAGGACCCGCCATCGAGAGAGCACCATGGCCCCTGCCTCTGGACCCAGGAGGCCTCTCTCCCCCCCTGCCACTCAGAGCCTCCCCGTGCGGCTCAGGCCCCAGGCATCGGGCCTCTGGGCAGGAGGGAGGAAGGGACAGATGCAAGGCCGAGGCTCCTGTGATGTGCGGAGGCGGGGAGGGGGCGGGTGGGGGCAGAAAGCGCACATTTATCTTGGACCGGGTCCCTCTCCCTTGACCCCCGACTTTCTTCCTCCCCCACGTCCAACCCCCCCCCCGACCCCCGTGGCCGCTGCCCGTCCCCCACCCCTGGTGTGATTATTTCATCTGTTAGCTGTGGCTGTTTTGCGTAGCATCGTGTGCCGCCCCTGCCCCTCCCCAGCTGCCCCCCCCACGTGTGCGCGCCCCACTGCGATGTACGCCCCTCTCCCTTCCCCCACATTAATAATTTATATATATAAATATCTATATGACGCTCTTTAAAGAACATCCCAAACGAAACCAACCAAACAAAAACATCCTCACGACTCCCCAGGAAGATGTGTGTGGCTGTTTCTTTGTGGGCTGTGGGGCGTGGGTGGGGGTGTGGGTCTCCGCGCAGTGACACCTCGAGAGAAAGCCGTGCGACCTCCTAGCGCCAGCCCGGAAGTGGGTAGGGACCCTGGCGAGTTGGAGAGGGGACTCACAAAGAGCCGGGTTCCTGGAGCCCTGGCTCCTCCATAACGGGGTGCCGGGGCAAGTCCGGACCCTTTCTGCCAAGGCTGGGCAGTCATGATGCTGGCGGCCCAGGACAGCTGCAGGGAACTACGCAAACTCGGGAGGCGTTTCTGCCACTGGTCCCACAGCTAGAAGCCTCCGGGGACCCGAATCCTTTCAGTTGAGTAGCTAGAAATGGTGATATAGCCGGAGGTGCAGGGGGCGTGGCTGCAATAAGTTTAGAACCCAGGTGTCTTAACCACCCTAAGGTAGCGGGGAGAGGGAGTGGGGGAACAATTACAAACGCCCAAAAGGGAAGAGAAATTACAGGGCGTCAACTCACACCTCGAAGAAAGACCATTTTAGGAAAGCGCGGGACCCGCCGAGCTCTTCTGCGGCGAAGCCCTGTCTGCGTTCTTAAAAACTAAAGGGGGCGTGACTGGCTACCTACTCAGCCAATCGGCATCGGCTCATTTGCATAGGCCCCCACCCAACGTTCACAAACTCTAGACACGAAGGATTTAAGAAAGTTCCTTAGAACATGGTCTTCCCTTCCGAAAGTCGCAGTGTGTCTCGTTATCTGTACAGCAGTAGGAGCTAGGAACCGGCCGTCGGGGCTCACCCTCACCGACAGCGGGGTTGATGGCTATGCCGCGCTCTCTCCGGCCTCTTCATACGCAGTGTTACAGCTCTTTTAGAATTTGTCTAGCAGGTTTTCCGGTTCGCACCGGAAAGCCCCTCCCACATAAGTGGTTATCAACAATAGACTGATATTTGGGTGAGAAGCTGTTGTTTTTCTCCTGATTTGGTTTTTTTTTTTTTTCTTTGGTCTATGTGTGGCTAGCCAGTTGCTAGTGGAGAAGATCCGGGAGGTTGGGACTCTTGTCTGGAAATTTCCGGCTCTGTCTGATGTAGCTTCCCGTTCGCTTCCCCCCTGCGCCGGGAGGGCCGTGCTAGAAACCGGTTCGTTTTTTGCCAGCTCGTCGCTACCACACGTGCATCTTTTATCCCATGGCGTCCGCTTCGGCTCAATCCGCGGCCCTGAGCGCCGAGCAGGCCAAGGGTGAGAAGCCTCCGATTTGCCGGGTGGGCTCCTTTCTCGAGAAGGGCGCTGGGCGAGAGGTGTGACTGCATTCGCTGGGAAGTGGGGGCGCGCGGGACCGTCCTGTTTTCAGAGGGGCCTCCTCGCTCTCAGCGAGGAATTCGGGGGCCGAGCTCATCGGTTATTACGGCTTAGGTTCACTAATCTGCTGCCCTTTTCCTTGCGCTCTCGGCCGCGCGGGTCGGCTGGACTCGCATGCCCACTCGCGGCGGCGACTCCTCACTGGGCTGCATCTGCGCACAGTGGTCCTGGCCGAGGTGATCCAGGCGTTCTCGGCGCCGGAGAATGCCGTTCGCATGGACGAAGCTCGGGACAACGCGTGCAACGACATGGGCAAAATGCTGCAATTCGTGCTGCCCGTGGCCACGCAGATTCAGCAGGAGGTTATTAAAGCCTACGGCTTCAGCTGCGACGGGGAAGGTGGGTCGGACGGGGGTCGGCGGTGCACTGGATCGAGAGGACGATGGATCTGTTGGGTTCCTGAGCCGTCGTCCCCTTTCTCGCCACACGGCGGCAGCCACAGTCTAACAGTGTTGGCGCTCAGAGCCCAGGGTCTGCTGTGAACTTGAGCCAAGAGAGGTTCTTAAGTGCATGTTGTAGTTACCATTAATTATACTGTTATTCCGTTTTAAGATGAGGAATCAGGCTCTGCTAGTAAACCAGTGCTGGAGGTCACAGCAGAACTTTCTATGAGTCCCATTTTGGTGGCTTTTAGTGAGATGTCTATATGACCACACACTTCTGCAGCCCCACCCCCACCCCCCACCCCCCACCCCGCAACGTGTTTCAGCTAATTTGAGGTCTGGCAGTTCAGTTTCTTGGGTGAGATCACCGAGTTCTCCAAGAGTGTTTATTGATCCGCCCAGCTGGCCCATGATGCTCCTGTGTCCTGGTTATAGACTGGCGATCTCGTTCTGGTGGGTACGCATCCTTTGGGCTCTTGTGACTAAACTGCTAAAATGGTTAATCTGATCCTGGGAAGCATACTGCTTTGGGATGTTGTCATTCACTGCATCCCATCTGGTCGTGCCTGGTGTAGACCAGGAAAGAGTTTATCCGGACCACACAGGGCATTGGCTGGGTCTTGTTTTGGAGACAGCTACCTGGCCAGAGGGGAAGCAGCCACCCACTCCAGTTCAAGCTGCTCCCTCCTGCCATCTTGGGCACATCCGTTCCCTGTGGGTGTGGACTGATGCTTCGTTCCCCTTTGCAGGTGTTCTTAAGTTTGCCCGCCTTGTCAAGTCTTACGAAGCCCAGGATCCCGAGATTGCCAGCCTGTCCGGGAAGCTGAAGGCTCTGTTCCTGCCGCCCATGACCTTGCCACCCCATGGGCCTGCTTCGGGTGGCAGCGTGGCCGCCTCCTGAGGACTGGCCCTCCCGTGACACTGCTGGGGAAGGGAAGACCTAATTGTACCGCAGGATAATAAATGTGCCTGTGACTTAGTGTTGACGTCTGTTTTTTGTGACCCTGACAACCTCTCCGTCCCGCCTGACTCCCTCTTGCCTTTCAGGCTGTCCCATTTCCCTGTCCAGATCTTTCCTGTGTTCCTGCCGGGCTGGACTGGCTCCAGGGCAGAGTGGGAGGATGGGCCGGCCCCTCAACCCTGCTGGGTGAAGGGCCTGCACAGGCTTCACCCTCTTTGAGCAGTGGGGCTTTCTGGACTTTTCCTGAGGCCCCTGGGCTTCTGTGCCCCTGGAGACTTGCCCATTGGCTGGTGCTCCCTTGGCCAGGGTGACTTCCTGGGCTTTGTTGGCAGCACCCAGCTTCTTGCGGCTCAGTTGGCTGGTGGGCCAGGTGGAGTTTCAGGTGGCTCCTCCCTTCCCCAGGGAGGGAGGCGGGGGACAGGCAGGCGGTGCTGGGCTGGCGCTGGACTGCCGAGCGGGGCTGGAGGGAGAAGCCAGCTGCTGGGGCCAGCTCCGCCCCACCTCTCCCTTTTCCGGGGTTATTTAGTGCCGGGGCTTGTCCCTGCGGTGCCTCTGGCCTGGCAGGCAGCATCAAGAGGAAAGTGGCTGGTTTCTGAGCATTCTTCCTCACCTGGCTTGGGCCCCTGCACAGCTGCGCCACGGGGCTTGACCCCACCCCCTGTGCCTTCTGCCTGGGACTCCCCACCCCTCTAGGGAAATGCTGTCCCATGGGTAAGTCCCCTGCTCCATCTGGGTAATGGGGCTCCTGTTCATTCGGGAGGGAGGGGCTGGGATCCTGCTCACTCCTGACAGGTGCATGACCATGAGTGCGACCCACCCCTGCCCCCTCCCTGGGTCACTTTCCTCACAAGATGCCAGAACTCCAGCCTCGTTCATGACCTTCTGCCCCACCCCCCCTTCTCTAGTACTTTCTCCCTGACAGATGCATATTTATTCTCACCAAATTTCTCTCTCTGCCCTCTGGTCCCCTGCTTCTGTCTTCTGCTAAGGACACATCCCCTAGGGAGCTGAATGTCACCTGAAACATTACACATCTCAAAGGCAGACCTGAGAAAGCTCCCCTATTCCCACTAAATGTTCCAAATCCTTCATTCTGATCTCCCTCAGTTTCCCTTCACTCCTGTGCATCAGTTCATTCAGATACTGCTAAGTATCTATTGTATGCTGGTGCTTTTTAGTTTTTAAATTTTTTTAAAGTTTTTTTTTTTTTAATGTGGACCATTTTTAAAGTCCTTATTGAATTTGTTACAATATTGCTTCTGTTTTATGTTTTGCTTTTTTGGCCCCAAGTCATGTGGGAGGGATCTTAGCTCCCCAGTCAGGGACGAACCTACACCCCGGGTATTGGAAGGTGAGGTCCTAACCACTGGACTGCCAGGAAAGTTCTGCCAGGTGCTTTTTAAGGTGCTGCCAATACTGTAGCAAACAAGAGAGACACAGTTCCTGCCTTCATGGAGCTTCATGCGCGTGGAAGGGGACAGACTGCCCAAGGAACCCATTAAATAGGATAATTGCAGGGTCTCAGAAGTGTTACCCAGAAAATAAACCAGCTTCACATGCTAATAAGTGACTGGGGTGCCAGGGGCATCACTGACTGGAGGGGCCAGGGAGGGCTTTCCTGAGTCGGAGACGCAGGAGCTGAGACCTGGATGAGGAGGAAGAATCAGGCTCCAGTGCTGCTGGCAGAGGGAATGGCCAGTGCAAAGGCCCTGCTGTGGGAATAAACTGAATGATGGTGCCTGGGGGCAGAGTTGGCCAGTGAGGACAGAGGAGGGCTGGGTCATGTGGGGCCTTCCTGGAGTTTGGATACTACAGTGAGGACCTGCTGGGCGTCTTGGTGAGTTGGTAGGTTGGTCACCGCAAGTTCAGTAAGTTCTTGCTTCTTATATTCACATCTGTCTTGGGGTGTGCCTGCCTCCTTCAGTGCACCCCTTGTCTCCTTCAGCCCCAGTATCAAGGTTCTTTTAAAAAAAATAATGTATTTAAAATTTTCATTTTTATTAATTATTAATGTATTTAGAAATAAATTATCGATAGATTTATTTATAAATAAATTATTGATAGATTTATTTATAATTACATTACTTAATAGATTTATGTGTAAACAAATGATTTATTGGCAGATTATTTATTTATAACTAATTTGTTTATTGATAGATTTATTTGTATATAAATACATTTATTTATTAGTTGTGGCATATGGGATCTAGTTCCCTGATGAGAGGTTGAACCCGAGCCCCCTGCAGTGGGAGCAAGGAGTCTTAACCACTGGACCACCAGGGAGGTCCCTGCTGTCAAGGTTCTCACTGGGACTTCTGGTCCCCGTCCCTTCCACGCTCCTGTCTCTGTCATTTTCCTGCCAGATGGTTGGCAAGTCTTTTCCTGAGAAAGAATCCTTCCTTGGTTCCTCAGCCTGGCCCCATGAGACCCTCTGCCAAGGGTCCCAGCCTCTCAGAGCAGCTCAGCTCAGCCATAGGGCCCGGCTCACAGCCGGTGCTACACTCGTGGGTCCTGTGCCAGCCCCCCAGGGGCCCCTGAGGAGTGCCCTGACCCTGGCCTCATCGTGCACTGTGCCCACGTCCCGCCTCCTCCTCCCACGGTGGCTGGTACAGTGGGAAGACAGTGGACTCGTCAGACGTCAGACGGCCTTGGTTTCTTGCCTTCCCTCTTCCTAGCTTGTGACCTTGGTCAAGTTACTTCTCTGAGCCTTAGTTTTTGTTTCTAAAGTTGGGCTAACATGGACTTCCCTGGTTGTCCAGTGGTTAAGAATCCACCTGCCAAGGCAGGGGACATGGGTTTGATCCCTGGTCTGGGGAGATTGCACATTTTGAAGGGCAACTAAGCCCTTGGGCCACAACTACTGAGCCTTTGAGCCCCAGAACCTGTGCTCTGCAAAAAGAGAAGCCACAGCACTGAGAAGCCCATGCACCTCAACTAGAGAAAGACCACAAGCAGCACAGCCAAAAATAAATAAATGAATATTGGGCTAACAGGACCTACTAAATAGGGTTGGCATGTACATTAATAACATCACATAAAAGCTGTTCATACTAAAAACCTACAACATACCAGCTTTTTACATCAACATTTGGGAAATATTGTTAAGCTCATTTATCAGGTAGGGGTACTGAGGCCCAGGGAACTTCAAGAGCTTTCTAGAGATTACTTTGTTTGCTCTTCCAGACTGCCTGTCTTTCTGCATCCCCATTGACCTTCATCTCTGCCTTTGTCTCCTTGCTTCCCAAGTGAGTAATTTTCTCTTCTGAATTAGTAGGCCCTTGCTTTTTTAACTCTCAGCTTCCTTGAACCTGTTTACCTCCCTTAAAAAAAAAGAATGGGGAAAATAATTCCTAGATCCGGTGTTCCAGCAGTTAAGAATCCACCAGCCAAAGCGGGGGACACAGGTTTGATCCCTGGTCCAGGAAGATCCCATTTGCAGAGGGCAACTAAGACTGTGGGCCACAGTCACTGAGCCCTGAGGGATGCCTGAGGCCCAAAAGCGAGTGTGGATGTGTGTGCACGCGCACGTGCTCTGTGAACTCCAGAGCACTTATGCCAAGGGAAGGGCAGTGCTTCTTATTTATTTTCCTGCCAAGGGACAGTAGAGACTGTGCATACCCTCCTAGTGCATGTCTGCCTTCTGACTTGACACCCTTCAAAGAAATTCCTGTCTCTTTCATGGTCGGGGGTTGCTGGGTGCCTAGTTAGTTTCTTTTTTAAAACTCCCGAGGGAGAGTGGTTTGTGGCCACAGTACAGGGGGTGTTGGGTGCTACGTAGGGACCTGCAACTTTGTGGGTGGTTGGGATGCTGTGTCCACGTGTGGGTGTTTGCACCTAACTATGTATGTGTGTAGATGGACGTGGGTGATGAAGTTGCCTTTAGTGGGACTGTGTGTGTGTAAGTGGATGCTTGTGTGTGTGCGTGCACGCGTGTGTGTGTGTATGCTCATCTGTATGTGACAAGCAGGGTGTGCATGGGTAGGACTGGACCTGGGCTTGTGACCATGTACATACATGGGTCTGGATGAATGTGGTTTGACACGTGCTCTGTGTGAGACATGGTGCTAAGTTTTAACTACTTGGAGGTGAGCCAGACCAGCAGTGGACCTCCTATGCTGGAGGTGAGGGCCCCCTGGAGTAGAGGTGATGGTGTCCAGTCTCTTCCTGCCCCCTGCTGTGAGAGAGTTCATAGTCTTTCAGGGCTACTGTCTAAGATAGAGGTAGTCAGTGTTAGACCATGAGATAAACAGACTAAGCAGGGTCCCCAGAAATCCTTTCTGGGGGTGGGGAGGTCAGAGAATTGATATTCAAAAAATGATAAAATAGCCAACATAAGAAAATAGACTTTTATTGGGCTTAAATAGTTTGTTATTTATTTTTCCTTCTTTTTTGAGGCATAGCATACATAATGTGCTTAAATACTGAACATCACATTTACTTCATCTGTGTATACACCTCTCAGATTTGCTATCCCAGAAATTGCCATCTCCCAGTCAATTTACTTATTTTAATGAAGGGACTACATGCCCATGCTACAATCTTCAAAAAGGTAGACTGAAGGGACTTCCCTGGTGGTCCAGTGGCTAAGACTCCAGACCCCCAAGGCAGGGGGCCTGAGAGAGATGCCTGCTCAGGGAAGTAGATCCCACATGCAGCAACTAAAGATCCTGCAGGCTGCAATGAAGCTCAAAGATCCTGCATGTCACATGTAAGACTTGGTACAGCCAATTAAATAAGTAATAAATACAAAAATATTTAAAAAATAAAGGTGGAAGGAGGGAGAAGGAAAGGTCCCTCCCAGCTCTTTCCTCCAGCTACTGGCTCTGGTCCCTTCCCTAGGGAAGCCACTCATAGGGTTTCTTGTGTATCTTTTTTTTGTTTTGTTTTTAATTTTGGCTGTGCCCCAGGACTTGTGGAATCTTAGTTCCCTGACCAGGGATCGAACCCTTGTATTCTGCAGTGGAAGAGTCCTAACCACTGGGCCCCCAGGGAAGATCACTCTTGTGTATCTTGCATTGATTGGGCTTCTTTCCTCTTGCTTTGGTTGGCGGTATGTTTGTATTTGGAATTAGATGGAGCATCACAAGCTTTTAGTGTTTAGGGCCTCCCCAGGTGAACGGGTCCTGAGCATAGGCCATGGCAGGGTCTGGGTGCTCCGCTGTGGCCCAGGAGACAGGCCCCTGGGTCAGAGTCCTGAGCTCTGTCGGATTCAGACCAGACCCCCTCAGCAAGAACCTACAGTTCAGGCTCCAGTGGATCCATCCATAGGGCTGGCGGCTCTGGCCCCACCTGCTTCCCACTCCGCTTCTCACCCGACTGCAGGGTTGGGGCACGGTGGATGGCCCAAAGGCCGAGGATAAGAAGCAGAGAAGGTGCCAGTTGGACAGAGCTGTTCCAGGGTCATTTTGTCTATCCCTCTGTCCCAGGGCACCTATTCAGATGTGTGTGTCAAGGGAGGGTTTCTCGCCCTCTAAGAGGCATCTGCCCAGCCTAAACAGTTAGGAAACTGCCCCCTTCCACTTTGGCCTGAGTAGAAGAGACTCTCAACCTCTGCTTGTTTTTTTTTTTAAAATTATTTATTTATTTGGCTGCACTGAATCTTAGTTGCATCATGTGGGATCTAGTTCCCTGACCAGAAATCAAACCTGGGCCCCCTGCATTGGGAGCAGAGTCTGGACCCCTAGGGAAGTGCCCCCCTCCCCAACCTTTTTAACTTTTTCTTTTATTTTTTAAAATTTACTTATTTATTTGGCTGTGTCCAATTTTAGTTGCAGTACACAGGATCTTCCATTGTGGCATTTATTTTTGGCATGGGCTCAGTTGCTCCACAGCATGTGGGATCTTAGGTCCCCGACCAGTGATGGAACCTGTGATGCTTGCCTGCATTGCAAGGCAGATTCTTAACCACTGAACCACCAGGGAAGTCCCTCAACTTTTTATTTTATATTGGACTGCAATTCCAACCTCTGTTCTCTGAAACCCTGAGCCCTGGCATATAGTAGCTAAAATCACTAGCTTTGGAGCCAGGCCGTCTGGTTTGCACTCTGGTTTGCCATTTACTGACCATGTGGCCCCGGGGCGGGGAGCTCCCTTCACGCCCAGAGCCTCAGGTTCCTTGTCTGGAAAATAGGAATAATGAAGGTACCTGCCTCACAGGGCTACTGTGAGGACATATCAGATAAGGCAGGTAAATACCGCCCAGCACAGTGCCTGTTGTCTAGGCAGACTCCGCTAATGATAGTTGCCACCCTCACCATTATTATTGGTTTGGACCAGGGAAGGCTGCATGGAGCAGGAAGAGATGGCGCGTGACTGTGTGGGTTCCCATGGACCAAGCATGAGCTGGCCCGGGGCGCTGGAGGCTCACGTGTGTCCTCATTCGGGTGGTCGTGTGTGGAGGGCCACCCTCCCTAGGCCTTGGATGGCAGGCGTGTGGGAAGTGGGTCCTGTCCCCACCCCCACCGCCACCCCGTGCTTCTCCCCGCTCTGCCCTAAAACGAGAAGTGAGTGAGTTCCCCCAAGGGGTCGGCCGCGCCCCTTCCTGTCCCCGCCCTGCCGGCTGCCCCAGGCCAGTGGAGTGGCAGCCCCAGAAGCAGGACAGGACTGTGCTGGGTGGCAGGTGGCCTGGGCGCTGAGAGCCTCCAGAGCTTAGCCCCAGCGTCCCCCGCCTGCCCAGACTCAGCGGCACCACCCCGTTGCCTGCACGCCTTCACCCCCCTCCCCGCCCCGGGCACCCCCAGGATGGTGAGGTAAGGGCCGAGCACCCGTGGTAGGCAGGAGGCAGGGCGCCCCATGGCCCTGTGGCCTCTCCTCATCACCTTCTCGGCCCCCAGGTGGTTTCACCGAGACCTCAGTGGGCTGGATGCGGAGACTCTGCTCAAGGGCCGAGGGGTCCACGGAAGCTTCCTGGCGCGGCCCAGCCGCAAGAACCAGGGCGACTTCTCCCTCTCCGTCAGGTAGGTGGCCTGGGGCTCCAGCCGGGGGTGGACCTGGCTGCTCATTTCGCTTCCCTAGGGCCCTGGGTGTATCCACCCCAACTCTGCCCGGGACCCCCACCCACCCCCTACCCACACCCGACCTCCACTCTCCCATTCACTGGCCTTACCACCACCGGGTGCCCTGCAGGGTTGGGGACCAGGTGACTCATATTCGGATCCAGAACTCTGGGGACTTCTACGACCTGTATGGAGGGGAGAAGTTCGCGACGCTGACGGAGCTGGTGGAGTACTACACGCAGCAGCAGGGAGTTCTACAGGACCGAGACGGCACCATCATCCACCTCAAGTACCCGCTGAACTGCTCGGACCCCACCAGTGAGAGGTGAGGGGCTTCGCTCCCTGGCCCGCCCCACCGAGAGGTGGGCTAGCCTCCCGGCCTTGGGCCTCTTCCCTCCGTGCGATCCGCAGACCCCCTTTCCATCAACCCCTAGGAAGCAAGAGAAGGTTGCCTGACCCTTCTCCAGGGTCCCTGTCCACCCACACCCCAGGCCCTACCAGTGCCAGAGAGGCCTTTCCTCGTGGCCGTGTCTCCCAAATGGCCGGCTCTGTTGTTAGAAAGCTCTTCTTGCCTGAGACAGAATCTGACCTCTTGTAACTGTTCCTTCCCCAGCACGGGTTCCTATGGTTGAGGAGGAGCGTAGGGGTCAGCATGTATGAGGACACGTAGCCTCATCTCAGTGTCCCCTGAGAATGGGTCTGCCCTCTGGGGCTGGCTAGTGCTGGGCTAGTCCCTTGACCAGACCCACATTATTGAAAACTGTCATAGGGGTGCAAGGGCCTTGTAGCTGGGCACAGGACAATACTCTAAGCCTTTCCCGCCCATCTTTCTGGTTTCAAAGATATGGTCCCCAGAACTGGGCTGGCTACTCTCCAGGTTGTCTCCCCAAAGTGTGGGCACACCCCAAAACTCTGCATTTTATGGGCGGGTTGGGGGGGTGTCTCATTTTCCAGCTGTGTCTCCATGATAGCTTCTATAATTAGGGGAAGGGCAGCTGAAAAACTCTGGGTTGTTATGGGGGCTTTTTCTGGCACACTCCTAGGGCCAAGCCAAATTATCCTTGTCCTGTATTTGTGCATCGATTGTCGAAATGATTCTGAACCTGGATTCTCTCAACTTTTGGTCTTTCTGAGATGCATACCTCCCAGCTTGCATCCATATTTTGTTCAAGTCACAGGTTGAGACTGAGATCTAGATGAGGCTGGGGTAAAGGCCCCAGACTCACCTCTGGAGACCCTTTTGCCTGTGAACATGCAGCCAGGGATCCATTTCTGGTGAAGCCGCCGCCCTTAGGAAGGAAGCACTTGGATGCCCTTGCTTGTGTCTGTCCTTCCCTGGTGTTCACCGCCTCTCACCCTCTTCCTGCACTGCACCTGCCACATTCATGGGGATTTTCTGCCCAGATCCTCTTGGGCTCTTCATGACCTGGCCTCCTCCTTGTCAACAGCCAGGGTCCGGCCTACTGGCTGCTGCCAGAGGATGGGTGGATGCAGGGCTGGTTGAGAATGGAGCTGGAAGAATGGAGCTGGAAGAATGGAGCTGAGATGACCCCCTGGGGCCTGGGGTCAGGGTTCAAATTGTGGTTGGAAGAGGTCAGGGACAGAGGGACTCAAGACCAGGGCAGCTGACTTAAAGAGGGGCTTTTGGCTCCCCACACCAGGAGGCCTGGATTCACCCTTGACCCTGGGAGCCTGTGGGGAAGGCTCTTTCTCCCAACCTCCGCTCTGGTTTGCTCTGGTTCTTGGCCTTGGCAGCTGCCCCTCCTCCTTTGGGGGGAATTTGCATTTGTCCCCTCAATGGCTAGCTCTTTGCCTGTGGTCAGCCTGACATTTGCATGGAGACTTCCTCATCCTGTGGGGCCTGGGGGAAGAAAGTTAGCCCCCTCCCCACTGCTTGGGGGCCCTGGCCTATCCCTGAGCCGTGGGATATGGTGGCCCGGGGGTTCTGCACTGGGCTGGGGACCCTGGAGGTCTCCGAGCTGCAGTCTCCTCCGGGCCACAGTACGATGGGGTGGGACAGACTGGCCCCCTCCCTCCTTCCCCCCATTCCTGCGGTTGGAAAATGCCCCCCTTCCCCTGTCCCTGGGCTGAGGAAACCTCACAACCTCACTTCTCACTCTCTCCCCAGAAGGAGTTTTGTGTTTTTTCCATCACGTGGTTTCCTGTGGGGCTGGGCATTGCGGGGCTACAGTTTCCTCCTGGGAAGGGGGTGTGTTTTGGGGAAAGGTCCTAGTTCTGCTTTCTGCCCCTCTGAACCCCTTGAGCCTCCCCCCCAACACCGAACCCCAGCAGCCCCTTCAGTGACACCACCTGGGGCACCCCAAACCACTCTTCACCCTGTGGGGCTTGTCCACCTTCCCGGACCCCAGGGGGACTTCTCCCCATCTCCCCTCCCTTGTGACTTCCGTCTCTCCCTACCCCATCGCTGTCTGTGGTTTGGCCTCCGTCTGCATTTCTGCTTCCCTTGCCCAGCTCTTTCATGGAGACCCTTCCTGGGTTTCTCCCCTCTGAACATTCTAGATGTGGCTGTCTTTCTGCCTGTGTCTTAAACTTTCAGAGGCAGGCTTGCTTAGAAGTCCTGAGGCTTGCCACTTATCAGCCAGGTCCTTGGGCCAGTGTGCAACTGCCCAGCCTCAGTTTCCTCATCTGCAGAATGGGTAGTACCTACCTCTCATGTTTCTGTGAGAGTGACGGACCTACTTATAGTGGCGGATTTGAGAGCATGTAGCAGAGCTCAGTTCGGCACATGGCAGGTGCCCAATTTCCCTCCCCCTCCCTGAGCATCTGCCCAGCGCCCACCCCGGGCCTTAGTCTCACCTGCCCGGATGCTGTCTTCCCTAGGTGGTACCATGGCCACATGTCTGGAGGGCAGGCAGAGACTTTGCTGCAGGCCAAGGGGGAGCCCTGGACCTTCCTTGTGCGTGAGAGCCTCAGCCAGCCTGGAGATTTTGTGCTGTCTGTGCTCAGCGACCAGCCCAAGGCTGGCCCTGGCTCCCCGCTCAGAGTCACCCATATCAAAGTCATGTGTGAGGTAAGGCCTCTGGGCACCACAGAGGCACCCCGCTGGGGGTCCCCTCTGGGTCCACACCCTTGCCCGTGGAGAGGGGCAGCCTGGGCTTTGGCCCGAGGCTGGGGGTCCAGGCAGGGAGACTAAGGTGGCCTGACTTGGCACCCCTCAGGGTGGACGCTACACAGTGGGGGGTTCGGAGACCTTCGACAGCCTCACCGACCTGGTGGAGCATTTCAAGAGGACGGGGATCGAGGAGGCCTCTGGCGCTTTTGTCTACCTGCGGCAGGTGAGGGGTGGGCCTGGCTGCCTCCTCCCATTCCTTGAGCCTCTGAGCTCTAGAAGTGGCTGACTTCTGGCCTTCCCCACCCAGCCATACTACGCCACGAGGGTGAATGCGGCTGACATTGAGAACCGGGTCTTGGAACTGAACAAGAAGCAGGAGTCAGAGGAGACAGCCAAGGCCGGCTTCTGGGAGGAGTTTGAGGTCTGTGATGGGACCAACAGTGTGAAGGGCGTGGGGTCCCAGGCAGACTCTGTCCCCTTACTCCCCTCCCTCACATTAGTCTGCCCCACCACCTCTATACCCATGGAAACCCCTCTTCTGGGCCTGGAGCCCCATTTCCCTGACTCGTCTCACAGAGTCTGCAGAAGCAGGAGGTGAAAAACTTGCACCAGAGGCTGGAAGGGCAGCGGCCAGAAAACAAGAGCAAGAACCGTTATAAGAACATCCTTCCGTGTGAGCACCCTGGGCAACCTCCAGCCCGCCCTCAACTCAGGCAGCGTCCACTCACCCAGGAGATGCCTCTCCCCTAGCTGACCTCCCCCCATATCAGACGGTCTCCTTCCCCAGCTCTATGAGGGGCCCCCACCCACAAGGGCATCCCCCCTTCCTCCAGGCTCCAAGAGGATCCCCTCATACCCACCCTACCCCCTTCTTCCTCTGAAACCTCCAACCCACCCCAGCCTGCCCACAGGGCCTCTGGGCAAGGATGGCCTGGGAGCTCAAGAAGGGTTTCTGACCTGGGCCCTTCTTGCTTGCTTTCTATCCACTCCCAGTTGACCACAGTCGAGTGGTCCTGCAGGGACGTGACAGTAACATCCCTGGGTCTGACTACATAAACGCCAACTACGTGAAGGTCAGTGTGCTCACCAGTCATGGTGGGGTGGGGGCGGGAAATGGGCCCCGGCTCCTGGGGATGCTGGGTCCAGAGACATTGGGTGAAGCCAGAGCTGCTGCCATGGGGGTGTGTGTGTGTGGATGAGGGCTCACAGCCCTGCTCATCTCTGCACTCTGTCCAGAACCAGCTGCTAGGCCCTGACGAGAACGCTAAGACCTACATCGCCAGCCAGGGCTGCCTGGAGGCCACGGTCAACGACTTCTGGCAGATGGTGTGGCAGGAGAACACCTGCGTCATTGTCATGACCACCCGGGAGGTGGAGAAGGGCCGGGTAGGCTGAGCCCCACACCGCCCCCACCCCCAGGACTGCTCCACCACCATTAAGCTGGAGAGACACTTAGGGCCACCTCAGAGGGCAAGGGCCTGACCTCCTTGGGGAACTGAGGCAGAAATCTGAGTACACGATGACTTCTGGGTCTCTGCTTCCTATCTGGGACTCCCCTGACCATCAGACCCAGATTTCCAGAGGCCTCCATCCCTTTAGTGTCCCCCCACCCCACCGTCCCCCTCGGGGTAGTAGCCCCTCCTCTCCACTCAGCCTCATTACTCTCTCTGAAGTCGGCCCCAAACCCTCACCCCATGGGCAGGCTGCCCCCTCGCATGGCACCCTCTGCCCTGGAGTGGCTGTGCCCTGTGCAGAGCTGTGTGACCTCTGCGTCAGGCTGTCCCCCTGAGGACCCTGGTACTCAGGTCTGGTGGCTGCCCTCCAGCCCTCACCTCCGACCTGCCGGGCTCCTTCAGGTTTCCGTGCCTCTGCAGGAGCTCATTTCTCCTAGGAAGTGACCTCATCTCTCCTCCCTATCTCTGCCCGACAGACTCCTCATTTTTTTAAAGACCCGGCTCACATGCTCCCTCCTCTGTGAAGCCACCACTGATTTCCTCCATTACCTAGAGGGAGAGTTAGTCTCTTCCTGCCCCCCACCCCAACCCCGGGCTCCTCAGCAGCTCAGTTCCCTGGCTCACCCTTCTCTCTGTGAGCTCCTGGAGGCAGTGCGCACCAGGCTGTGTCTTACTTGTGTCCGTAACTCCAGCCTGGTTGGCGCGGCTTCAGGTGCGAGGTCCGTACCAGCCCGCGTGTGTGGAATGACTTGCTGAGTGGCTGGTCAGGCCTCACCACCTGGAGCACGCTGAGCCAAGACCTAAGCCTCCGACCCTCGGCTAGTTCACCCATTCATCCATCAGAAGCTGCCGGGCCAGCACCGGGCACTCAGGCCCTGCCTCTGTGCCTCACGTTCCGCCTCCACCCTCTCTTTTCAGAACAAATGTGTTCCATACTGGCCAGAAGTGGGCAGTCAGCGTGTTTATGGACCCTACACTGTAACCAATTGCGGGGAACACGACACAGCTGAGTACAAACTCCGAAACTTACAGGTCTCCCCGCTGGAAAATGTGAGTGTCCCCTGCCCCTGCCCCAGGCTGGGGGCCCTGCTCACGCTCATTCTCCTGGGTTGGGTAGAATGAAGCCACACGGGGGAGCAGGGTGCACTGACCCTATGTCCTCCACCCAGGGGAACCTGATTCGGGAGATTTGGCACTACCAGTACCTGAGCTGGCCTGATCATGGGGTCCCCAGTGAGCCTGGGGGTGTTCTCAGCTTCCTGGACCAGATCAACCAGCGGCAGGAGAGTCTGCCTCATGCAGGGCCCATCATCGTGCATTGCAGGTGAGAGTGACAATGATCATGATATGGGTGATAATAGTCCAAGTAGTAGCTGGCAAGTGAGTACTGCCAAGCGTCCTGTACTGGTGTAAGTAATTTACATGTGAATGCATTTAAAGCCTCCTGGGCCCCCCACCTCTTCTGGGTTCCCTGATGGCTTTCAGACCCATGGGTGGAACTTAACTTGAACCAAGCCCATGGCTCGATCCCCTGCCTGGAGTGGGGAGTCCCCGTAGAGATGTAGCGTCCGGTCCAGTCTAGTTCAACCTGCCATGTGCAAATGAGGAAATGGGTCAAGCCTCTTGTCAGGTCACCGCTGGTCCATGGGGGAAACCTGGAGCAGGGCTCATGGTAGGCCCAGATCCTGGTCACTCCTGTTTTTTCACACATACCTACCCACGGTGTTTCTCCTTGGGGTCGGTGTGGCTCCCCATCTCTTCGCTTTACCGTCTGCAGCCATGAGGGGGAGGGGTGCCGAGGCCTCTTCATGCCGCCCCTATTTCTCCCTTCCTGCCAGTGCCCCCAGCTCAGCCCCTTGGCTCATGCACCACTCGGTCCACTGGAGCTTCCCATGTTCATGTTTGGGAGACCCTGCTAAGCTGGGGAGCTGAGGGGTCAGCAGTGAGCAGCAGGGCCCCAGCAGGCTGCCTGGCCTGGGTGGAAAGAAGGGGGTAGGCAGGGGTTGCTGGACAGATGTAGCTTCTGTAAATTCCAGCTCCTCCACTCCCTGGCTGTATGATCTCAGACAAATGACTTCACGTCTCTGATCCTCAGGTTCCTTATTTGTACATGAGACCCTCACACTGTGTCCGGAGTACAGTAAATGCTCCAGAAGGGGGGATCATTCACGTTTTGATATCTCCCGTGGGAGGGACGGAGGTCTGTCTCCTTCCCTTCCCTTCCTGCTCCCTCCATGTGACCCAGGCTCTGAGGGCCAGGACTTCCTCCTTCTGCCCACCAGCTCTTGTGTGTCCTGGGGCAGGGCCGGGTGGCCTGAGCCTGGAGGTACCCCCCACGTGCCGTCTCAGGGACTCTACCTCCAGGGACAGGCTTATCGCCAAGAATGACCCTGCTGCCTGTGACCCCCCCCCACCACCTTCTTGAAATCCCCATGGCCTTAATTTAGACGTTACAGGAAGGAAGTGGGTGAGAGGGTGTTATTTTTAACAATCTGGGTTTGAAATTAGACAGTGCGACTTGGGGCATCGGCCTGACTGGCCTAGTGGTGGAGGTGAAACTGGGGTCTCTGTGGGGTGTTGAGGCTGCTGGGGTCTGTGTGCCCAGGGGGTGGCGGCAGAGGGTGGGGAGGAGGGGAGACCTCCTGTGAGCTGCTCTCCCAACTCTCCTGAGCCCAGTGGCCTCGTGGCACGCCGGCGGGGGCACTGTCTTAACCCTGCTGTTGGGATCTGAAGAAAAAGGGAGATGCAGCCTTGCAGAAAGGTGGTCCTCATGCGAGGAGGGCAGCCTGGCTCGGGCCAAGGCCGTGGGAGAGGGCCAGGGGGCCAGGGGGCCAGGGTGGTAGGCAGAACAGGTGGGATGGGGTCCCAGGTCTCCTGGGGTGGTGGGGGGAAGGGGGAGAAGTGGAAGCAGGTGGCGGGGCTGGGAAGAAAGACTGGGAAGGGCATCGGGGAGCAGCGTCTTAGCGCTTGAGTGCAAGGCTCTCCCCTCAAATCCTTTGGCTGGAGGGATGAGCGTGGGTGCAGAGTTGGGCAACCCGTGCCCTGCCTGCCCCACCCCCACCGCACTAACCCAGCCAGGTTCCTGCATCTTGTATCACTGCCCTTTCCCTAAGCCCTGCCCCTGCCAGCGCTGTTTGAGCCCCTGGTTCCCAGCCTATGCGGGCTGGGACTCTCACGCGCCCCTTCTCTCCCCAGCGCCGGCATTGGCCGCACGGGCACCATCATTGTCATCGATATGCTCATGGAGAGCATCTCCACCAAGGGTAAGGGTGACCGGTGGGGGACGCTGGGACTGGTGGGTGAGCAGCCCCCCGCCTCCTTCTTCGCTCGGGGCCTGACATCCGGCTTCCCTCTTGGCCAGGCCTGGACTGTGACATCGACATCCAAAAGACCATCCAGATGGTGCGGGCCCAGCGCTCGGGCATGGTGCAGACGGAGGCGCAGTACAAGTTCATCTATGTGGCCATCGCCCAGTTCATTGAGACCACTAAGAAGAAGTTGGAGGTCATGCAGGTGTGGGCAGAGCAGGGGCCTGGCTGGGCTGAGGGGGCCAGTGGGCGTCATGGGGTGCTGCTGGGACCACCGGCCTCCCACCACACCTCTCCCCGCAGTCCCAGAAGGGCCGGGAATCGGAATACGGAAATATCACCTACCCGCCAGCCATGAAGAACGCCCACGCCAAGGCCTCCCGCACCTCCTCTAAGTGAGTGGCCCCTGCCTAGCCTGACCTTCCTTATCAGGGAGGTTCGGGTTCAAGTATAAGCTTGGTTCTTACAACCTGTATTCACAAGTGTCTCCTGAGTGCCCTTCCACGTGGGGCCTGGGCTGAGTATACTGATGTGTGAGATGATGCCTCTGCCCCTAGGAGCTTCTAGTTTAGTGTCAGGACGCTGTCAGGGCTGGTGTCCTTGCTTTCCTGGCCTCAGTTTGCTCACCTGTGAGATGGGGTGACCCCATGTCACCCCAGGCTGGTGCTGGGGAACCCTGCCCTTGTCTCCTGACCCGCTGGCCCCCGCCCTGCAGACACAAGGAGGACGTGTATGAGAATGTGCACAGTAAGAACAAGAAGGAGGAGAAGGTGAAGAAACAGCGGTCAGCGGACAAGGAGAAGAACAAGGGCTCCCTGAAGAGGAAGTGAGCCGGGCCTGTCCTGGGGCGGCCATGGTACGGCCCTTCCCTGGCCTGTCTCTGGGGCCCCCCAACTGGGCTTTCTGCCCTGGATAGAGGGGGCGGCTGTGGCCTCACCCTGACTTCACAGATCCACCAGACCTGCGTCTTGTCTCCCACTCCAGGTCCAGCCCTGCCTTATCCTTTCCTCCCTTCCCTTTGCAGCCTCAGCCCCGTCTCTGCAGAGGGCTCCAGTGGATGACCCACAGCCTGAACCTGGAGCAACATCCCCCCCCCCATTCTATTGTAATTTAAATAGCCGTGTCCCCACCTCCCCCCCTGGGATTATGTATATAGCCCAGCAAGGCCCCAGGCAGGGCCAGGCTGTCTCCTCATGTAAATAAAGCCTCTAGGTCACTGTGTGTGGGTCTCTAACTTGGTGTGCCTGGCGGGAGGGGGAGGCAGGCAGGGAGCCTTCACAGTCTAACAGGCGAGTGTGAGCACCAGCCAAGTCTGGCTGTCTCTTCCTTTTCTTTAAAGTGGAGGGTGATCCTGCCAGGGTGGTTGTGAAGATCACTGAGGTCAGGGATGATGATATAACTGGCAATAATAATTCATCACACTTTTTTTTTTACACATTATATTTATTGCATTGCACTGGGTCTTAGTTGCAGCATGAAGAATCTTTTGTTGCATTAGGTGAACTCTTTAATTGCAGCAAGTGAGATCTACATCCTTGACCAGGTATGGAACCTGGGCCCCTTGCAATGGAAGTAGGAAATCTTAACCAAACACTGGACCACCGGGGAAATCCCAATTCATTACACTCTTGCCATGTGTCAGGTCTGGTTTAAGAGACTAAAAGCACTGTGGACTTCCCTGGTGGTCCAGTGGTTAAGACTTCGAGCTTCCAGTGCAAGAGGTACAGGTTAGATCCCTGGTCAGGGAACTAAGATCCTACAGGTCATGTGGCATGGCCAAAAAAATGTAAAAAACAAGACCCCCCCCACCCCAGAAAAGAACAAAACCAAGACTAAACGTATTGAACCGAGGTACCTGTATCAGTCTGATTTTACAGTGGGACAGACTGAGACACAGAGAGATTAAATAACTTGCTCGAGGCCACAGGACTGTTTGTTGAGCAGTGAAACTAAGATTTTAACTCAGGCCGTTGGGCCCCAGAGCCTGCATTCCTGGAAACACAGCCGGGGTCACCCCGAGGGGGACACAACCACATTCTCTGGCCTGACTTCTGGGTCCAAGCGCTAAGAAGATGGATCAAGGCCATGAAGCACAGGCCCAGAGCCAAGCTGCCTGCTGTCCCTGCCCTCTGGACACCTGGTGCTCTCAGGACCGCCTGGCTCCTCCCTTCCTGGGGCCACTGCTACCTTTAGGCTCTTGATCAGAGTCTTAGTTTTTTTAAAAAATGTATTTATTTGATATCTGGTTGTGCTGGGCCTTCATCACTGCTAGGGGTTTTCTCTAGTTGTGGCGAGTGGGGGTTACTCGTTGCGGTGTGTGGGCTTCTCATTGTGACAGTCTTCTTGTGAGACATGGGCCCTAAAGCATTTGGGCTTCAGTAGTTGGACCACGTGAGCTCAGTGATTTCAGCTCCTGGGCTCTAGAGCACAGGCTCAGTAGTTGTGGCACATGGGCTTAGTTGTCCTGTGGCACGTAGGATTTTCCTGGTCCAGGGATCAAACCTGTGTCCCTTGCATTGGCCGGTGGATTCTTCACCACTGAGCCACCAGGCTCCCCTAGTTTTATTTTTGATCACTTTCTGTGTGTCCGCAGTGGACAACAATGATTCCTGTTTTATGTTGATTGAAAATGCTGGTCTCCTGGGGAGTTGAGTCTTAGAGAGCCCTACTCGGTAAGGCCCGGTTCCCTGACACTGGGCCTGCTGAGACTGGGTGGTCATTTGCTCAGTGGACACTTTCTGTATTGAGTGTCCCCACGTCCCTGGCGCTGGAGCAGTGCTGGGGCGAGGTAGTGGATCCGATTGTTCCTGTCATTGTGGAATCGAGGAGACTGGTGGGAAAGGCAGACCCAGAAACAGTCCACAAACAGAGAATAAGTACAGACAAGAATTAAGAAGGAAAAAAAAAAAAAACGAATTAAGAAGGAAGCAAACAAAGGTGGGCTTCCCAGGTGGTAAAGAACCCACCTGCCAGTGCAGGAGACATAAGAGACTTGGGTTCAATCCCTGGGTTGGGAAGATCCCCTGGAGGAGGGCATGGCAACCCACTCCAGTATTCTTGCCTGGAGAATCTCATGGACAGAGGGGCCTGGCGGGCAACAAAAGAGTGGGACACCACTGAAGGAACTTAGCAGGCTCACAAACAAAGGTGGAGGCAGAGAGCTGGGATTGGGCAACTCGGCAGGCATCTCAGCTCCCTGGAGCTGTCACCCTCCAGGGGGTGCGAGGGTGGAGCATCACCTGTGGGCCTCCGGGCCCCTCTCCCAGCAACCCTTTCTTCCCAGCTGAGCTGCACAAAAGAAAGGCGGGTCCCACCCCTCGAACCGCCCTGGGCTAATTGCTGGAGGCTGGGACTTGGCTTCTCCTGGGCTTCGAGGTGGGTCCAGGGGTGGCTCTGCCTCGTGAGGTGCCTGGTCCTTCTGAAGAGTGGAGACGGGGACTGTGGCCAGGGCTGCAGAAGCCCTCAGAACTCCAATCGGCCGGGTCAGTGCAGAGGTTCCTGACCAGGAACTCAGGACTCTTGGCAGGGGCCCCAACACTAAGGGTGAGGACAGGGAGGTGCCCCTCGGAGATCCCCGTGCCCTCCACAGGCTGGGATGTTCTGGGCGGGCGTCGAACTCAGTCTCTGCTGAGCTGAGCCCCCTCTGACCTCAGGATCTCTGGCAGAGGACTCAGAGGAAAGGGCTAGCGGACAGGGGGCAGGAGCGGCTGTGGGGTGAGGCCCAAGGAGGAAGGCGAAGGGGCCCAAAGGCAGCTCTGTCCTTTGTTCCTCTGGCGACAAGGCCTCCCTGGCCTGGGCGCCGGATCCAAGGAGGCAGGTAGCAGAGGACAGATTGTGGCAAAGGCTGGGGGCCTCCGGTGTGGTGACTAGGCCTCGGAGGAGGTGCCTGTGGCTGGCACTGGGAGGGAAGGGGTTAAGGCAGCGGGGTGCAGCCTATGGCGGGAGGACACACCTGTGCGCAGGGGCGGCGGGCGGGGCCCAGGTGAGGAGACTGCGCTGCCCGGCAGGAGAGAAGGAAGAAGAAAGAGTGGAGGCCAGGGCGGCTCCGAGGCCTTGAATCCTGGGCCTTGATTCCCCTTGCTCTCCGTGGCCCATGCTCTCTGGGGGCCAGGCGGCCTGGTGACAGGTAAAGACTATGGGAGAGGGGTCCTGGGGCCAGGCTAGGGATTGCTGAAGGGGTTTGAGGGCGGGGAGCTGGTGTGTGGGGGCAGAGACTGGCTTTGGGGGTGGTGAGGAAGGGGCTCTGGGTGGAGAAGAGATGGTCAGGGGGCTTCCGAAGTTCTGCTTGGGCCTCAGTGGATCAACAACCCAGGGTGGGGCTGGTGGCCGCTGCAGGCTCACCCGGAAGTGTCCCCAGGGACGCGGGTGGTGGGGGATGGGGGCCTGGGCCTAGGACTGGCCCTGGATGGGCGGCGGGGTGGGAGCCCCCGTCTTACCCAGCAGTGTTTGGGTGCTGGTTGGGAGTCTCTAATACTGCCGGGTAATGATGGAGGCCCCTGTCTCAGTGCCAGCGACGTCCACGGCCTCAGGGGCTCCCTGCGCACAGCTGCTGGCGTCCCCACTCCCAAACCTCCCCGCCCCAGCCCTGGAGGCCCCCTTTTTCTGAGTGGAGGGTGCTTTGAGAGAGGTGGCTCTTGGCTGGCTGGCTGCCCACAGAAGGGACACAATGGCCCCAGCCCCTCCCCCAACCCAGTGGGATTTGTCATCTGGAGGATCTAGGACCCACAGCTGACCTGGAGTTTAGGATTGGCTAGTAGACCTTCAAGAGACCTCAGCTGGCCCGCAGCCAGGGTCCCTGGAGGGACTGGCCAGCTCCAGCCTGGATGTCTGTGACCGGCTCTGGGTCCATCTTCCAGCACAGTGTTGGATGGTCTAATGGTGAAGCTCCTAACACTGTCTGGTAAAGATGGCCCCCGGCTGGTGCCCTCGGCAATGACCTTCAGGGAGGCCTGAAGACTACGGAGCCCTCCGGACCAGCAACCTCTGACCTTTACCCTTGGGGAGGTGGGGGAAGTCACTAGGAAAGGGAAACAATAGGAGGAATCAAAATGGCTGCCTCAGAGCCCCAGGGGATCTGGACACACAGGCTGGTTCTCTGGGCACCTCCATCCCCTTCCTGCCTCAGGGATGTGAAGGAAATGAAATTGTGGATCGGACTCTGGCTCATTCACCTCTGCCCTGGAGCTCCCAGCTCCTTAGGGCTTTGTCTCCCTTGTCCCTTTCATGACAGTGAGCAGGGGCCAGTTAATCTAATTTCTTCAGAAGCCGCGAAGCAGCTGAAGGTGAGCCCCTGCTCTCTAACCCCGTCACCAGAACTCCCTGACTTCTGCACACACTTCCGCCCCAGGTGCCGACCATCCTCCAGTTCCCGCCCTTCCCTGTCTCCCTTAATACAAGGAATGGGACACGGGTGAGGTGGCACGTGAGCACAGCCAGTGGGCTCCTTTCTCTGCCCGTTCAGTGAGGGCGGCATTGAGGAGGGAGGAGGCGACTGGTCTGCGGGGTAGTGGTGGGGGCAGGGCTGTGGGAGTGAAGCCCACCTCCAGAGGGCAGGCCCTGGCTGAGAAGTGCGGGCAGCCTGGGCAGGTGACACGATCCGCAGGGCGGGGGTTTGAGCATGTAAGCCCTCCGGTGAGCTCAGGTGGTCTCCCCACAGTTGCGTGGAGCCTTGTTACCAAGGAAGCAGCTCCTGTTGGGATCATCAGATTTTTGGTCTAGCTCAGCAAAGCCACAGCTGCTCCGGCCTTAGAAAAGGAGATGTTGGTAAACAAAGGGGAGATGCGGTTTAGGAGGGCGGGGCGGGGAATGCAGCTGGGCCTGGACCCCAAGG